TGTCTCTCTTTACTGTTGTGGCCTGACATGCTCTACACAAAAACTTAGTCTGATTATTGAAAGAAAGGTTCTGATTTTTACTAGATATCATTATCTTTTGCTGCTAATGGATAAGAACCATTTTTTATGATACACTAACTTTTGTTTCATATTGCAGATTGCTTTGCTCATCTAGGCGAAAATGCTTCAAAACAAGGTATGTCATTATACAATGTTCTGATCAAAAGATCTTATTTTTCTTGTTGAGAGTTAGTGGTAACTGTCATGAGATTATGTGTTTTAAGGCACCAACAGTCGTTTTAAGGTTAATCATTAATGTATTTTGTTTTCGTGTAGCTATGCTACAGTGGAGCCTTTGATCCATCTCAAAATGGAGCAAGTGGAGATGTCCTTGTTGTACTGACTTGGCATATTTAAAAGCAATTGCAAGATGGTGTAGATGTTCTTGACTGTCCTGTTCAAATGACAAAGATGGAACACCTATTTTGCTTGGGCTCTATAAATTCTGATAGATAGGCACAACAGTTGGCTCAAACAATGTTTTAAGCATCTTACAACACCAATTCCCAGAGATTAGCCCAAGTGCAGTGGAATATTTACCTTCAAACATGTCATGGATTGGATACTCAAAGCTTGACACGTAAGTTGAATTTAGTTCTCATTGTGCTTGTTCTTTAATTGTACTGACTTTTGCTTTGTTTTATTTTTTTCTTTGGGATGGGTGGGATGTCATCTATAGTCTCTAATAGTTTTAGAAACATAACATGTTGAAAATAAATGTTGTCTAACTCAGTAAAGATTGAAGTTTGTACATTATGTTGAGTGGGTATTTTTGATGCTTTGTGAGTGCTCCTCCTCATTTTTTTTCTGTGCTTGAAAGATTGTTACCCGTAACCATGGTCGTGGAGCATGACTAAAATCCCTGCTTTGGGAGATAATGTTTCCGTGCATACTATGTCAGTTTTATTTACTTTGCCCTATCATCTAAGTCTGTGTTTTAGTTGCTGAGATTTAACCTTCTTGCTGTTTCTTAAATAGATATAATTGGCATTAATTTTTTGGTAATCTATCATTACTTACATTGTAGCTCTAATATCAAGCCCACAGTCAGCTTACGAATTGTTTCGAAATCCGAAGTTCAAAAATTCTGGGAAGTTCTTAACTTTATCTGATTTTTTAGCCATGGCAAAGAATGCTAGATCTCTTTATGGTGTCTTAATCAGCATAGAGGTCAGTTCATGCCATTCTGTACTTTTCCTCTTCAAGTTTCAAGTTTCTTGCATTGGAGTTTACTGCCGTAATTTTTATTTTCTACTTGCATTATTGAACCTAATGATGGATGTTAAGAGGTTAGGCATTGTGAATGGTGGCTATGGTTATCTGCTGTGCCAGCGGGTACTGTTTGGTATCCTAATTATTCCGAGAAACATATCAGATTGAGTCTTAATCATAACTATGGTAGCTGTGGGTTATGCCATGTAGCAATATATTGAGCCGAATGGTCAAGGAAACATAGAAATGTAGTTTCATAAGAAGCTGCCACCATTATGAACTTGACATCTGTAGATACATTGCCTAAATCACTCTAAAGTTCACTAATTCTAGGGTTTCCAAAACTTTTAATGCTCTCATCATAACTTAATATCACTTGAGATTTAAAGATCATTCCTTTGTTTTCCAAATGTTGAGATTGAGATAAACCTATCACATAGGAGGGAAAGACATAAATGAAATTTTTTACCTAAAGTTTGTGAAGTTTTCAACTAGAAACTAATAAATAAAAACTAAAATTGAAAATAAAAACTGATAGATTAAAAGTTTTTGTTACATAAATCAAGTGTACAAAATTAGAAAAATATTTTAATAAATTTTGATATATTTTTAGATAGATATTTTTATTAAAAATATTGATAAAATTTTTACCGTTGAATAAATGTCGTTCAAATTTGAATTATAAATAATTTTTTTAATAATTTTTTTACGTATTATTGATTTTCACATTAAATTTTATCAATTTATCAGTTTGGATTTTTTTATTAAAGTTTTTGTTAAATCATTTTTAAGAAAGAATTTCACAAGCTTCACTTAAAAAACTTTATGTAAGTTTTGTCTCTTGTGGGATGTCTTTCTTGTATTTAAGCTATCATATTCGGTTTGAACTTACTTGCAAAATAATGTAAAAAAATCATAGATACTGAAAAGTGTAATCTTCATGATTATTTCCCATATATGGTTAGCAAAATCTTCTTGGGTATCTACATGTGTCCATATTTTTTCTTGACATTCCATGAGAAAATTCCAATCTTCTTTTCTCTTTCTGATGAAAAAAAAAAAAGATCCCTTCCCCTGAAAATCTAATTTGCTTAAAAGCCTCATTTGTGAGCCAGTGGTGGATCAATTTTCAAGAGTAGTAACCCTCAAAAAGAAAATTTGAAGGAAAAACTTTCCCGGGACACCTCCAAAATTTTTTCTTGCATGCCTTTTTCAGTCGATATAATTAGTAACTCCGTCAACAGTTATATGTGTGTGTGTGTATATACATACATATATATATATATATATATACATATATATATATTAAGTGGACACATCTAGCAAAAAAATTTTGGATCTGCAGCTATTGTGAGCTAGCTATAAATGTTGTAATATTTGAATTTCAAATGGGTTCTTCCTTGACAGCATAACAGGAATATTTATGAAAATTTTTTACTTGTTTATTCCTTTCAGAATGCTCCCTACCTTGCAGAGCAGGGTTATGGTGTAACTGATGCAGTGCTTAATACTTTGAGCAAAGCTGGCTATGATAAACAGACAGCTCAGACAGTTATGATCCAGTCCAGTAATAGCTCTGTTCTAATGAAGTTCAAGAGTAAAACCAACTATAAACTTGTCTACAAGGTTGATGAAGATATCGGTGGTGCTGAGAGTACAACAATTGACGACATTAAGAGATTTGCTAGCGCTGTGGTCATCAGCAAGGACTGTGTCTTTCCTGAAAATACAGCATTCATCACTGGTGTCACGGATGTTGTCCCGAGGCTACAAAAAGCTAATCTCTCTGTATATGTTCAAACCTTCAGTAATGAGTTTGTATCTCAAGCATGGGACTACTTATCTGATGCAACTGTTGAGATCAATTCCTTCTACACTGTAGCTGGTATTGATGGTGTCATTACAGACTTCCCAAAGACATCTAATAGATACCGGAGTAAGTGCTTGCCGGTTGAATGTTGGCACTGTTATATGCAGAAACTATAAAATTTTGATAGGATTGGTGTTGATTTGATATTCTTTTTGTAGGGAACCGATGCTTAAACAGAGGCGACAAAACACCTGGTTATATGAGCCCCGTTGAGCCTGGCAGCCTTTGGAAACTAATCACAAATGATTACTTGCCACCAGCTGAAGCTCCAAATCCCTACCTGATTGAGGCAGATGTTATTGAGCCCCCTTTGCCTCCTGTTGCCCCAAAAACCACCCCAACTTCAAGGCCATCTGGTACTGCAACAGCCCCAGCATCATCACCAAATGGACAGCCTCAAGTGTCTGCTTTTGTTATGGTGCCGCTTATGGCTGCGCTTCTTGTCATTTACTTGCTGTTTTGAATCTGTAGAAAAGGCTGTCTGCTCTTTACCATTTTGCCCCCTTCCTTTTCTCTCATTGCTTGGATGTCAAGTAGCTTGAAGCTTTTGCTACCGGCCGGAGTTCATGCAGCGAACACCATTTCTTGTTACTTCTCTTCTCCTCCTTATTTATCAGATCAGAATCTATGGAGAAACCAAGGGAAAAAACCTTGCAGAACAGAGGAAAAAAAAAGTATAGTATTCTTAAAGGGGAAAAAAATTTAAAAAGCTTGAGAGTTCGAGTTGTTTGAGTGGGTATTCCTGCTCCGAGTTGAAATCCTTTGTTATAGATCTGGTAATCGTAGTATTTGTGTTGTTAAAAATATTAAAATTTATATATTTATATCATTTTGTACACGAAAATTATGTATTATAATTTATGTCAATACGAAAACAAAAAAAAAAAAAATTTTATTTTGTTAAACTCATATATAATTGTTAAAATTTTAGGCTCTGTGACTTACATGCTCGTCTTCTTTTTATTATTCAAGATCTATTATATAAGTAAATATTTTTCATTTCAATCATAAAGATTTTACTTTTGCTCGTCAATTGACATGCATAATTCTGATTACAATTTTCGACTAATTACAAAATTTTGTATAAATTTAGGCATTTATGTTGTTTTGGTCAAATTTTTACTATTTAATTATTTTTTCAATAATCTAGATACGTAATGACACCAATCAAGGCATGAAATCAACCAACCTTCTTGTACTTTTGTATTCTTCGATCAATATCTTAACCGTCAAGTTAACATCAATAGCTTGATTTATGTTGAGTTAGCATTTGATGATCATCATGTTAGAGTACATGCTAATTAGTTCAACATTTGATTTGTAGCGAATAAGTTAATTCGTCATGTAAGTACAAGTTTAGTATATAAAATAAGGTTAGATCATAGATAAATTCATTCTCAAAAAAGTCTTTTGCTTTCTGTAATCTACTTTCTTTCCTTGCATTCTTCTTTTTCTCGTTTCTTGCACGTTATTGACTTAAGTGTTGAAATGCATCTTGGAGTCTTAACTTTTGATGCCCCTGATCGTTCGTTTTGTAATAAATCATCTTCGTTGCCAAATCAACCATTCGGTCCGCATCACAACACAACTATTTGTCTTACCAGAAAATGCATCTATAAACCCATTGATCTTTTTCTTCGTGTAGGGGTGATAACAATATAAATTAAAATGAATTTGGTTCAATTTTTTCGTATAATACATAATAACATTATGAAATATTAAAATTTGATTCGAAATCAAATCGATTTTCTTTTGAAATCGATTTGATTTGAACTAAATTTTATTTGTTTAGTTTGATTTGATTTATTAATTTTTACATTTTTTATATACTATTTTAATATAATTTTTAATATACTTAAATAGATTTATATATAAAATAATTATTCTTATTTTATAAAAATTTAAAAAATATATAAAAATATATAATTTGATTTGATTATTTTTTTTCTCAATTTTTCGCATTTCGATCCGAAATTTGATCCAAACTTAATCTATAAATTTAATATCTAAACCGAGTAAAAAAAATGATCCAAATTAAACTGAACCAAATGTTATGATTTCGATTGATTTTTAATTTTTTTAATTTTTTTTCGTTTGATTTAAATTAAATATATATATTTAAAAACCTAACTTAATTTAAATCGAATAAAAAATAAAAAATTCAAATCAAATTAAACCGAACATTATGATTTAGAATTAATTTTTAATTTTCTCAATTTTTTTCTCACCTTATCTTCATGCTTTAATGTTTAAGGTGTTGCTTAAGGACAACAATATCCTTCGTCTTGAATCTAGAAAATTTTCCCATTGCCACCCATATTTCAACTGTTTTCTACTGCAAAACCCCACTAATCAAATTGTGAAATTAAAGTATAGTACTTTCATTTTTTTAATATCACTAGGCTTAATCTAAATTTAATCTTCTTCTCGGATGATCTTAAAGGCACTTAAGCTATAATACTTTTAGTTTTAATAATCTCGTAACCTTCTATTTCATCGATCATTCCTTTGTCATCTTTTTCTTTAGTATTTATTCTTTAGATCCTTCCCTTCCAATAAATTGAAATGTCTAAAAAAATATTTATAAAATAATAAAATAGTTTTTTAATCCAAATATAGTTTTTCATTGTGAAAATATTTTTTGGGAAATTTTTTTTATTTTAATTCGTAAATCAAACTTTTAAATTAAAAAAAATATTTTTATTTTTTAACATTACGATTAAATCGAAACTGTTTTTGAACATAAAAATTATTTTTAAAAATAATATTAAACCAGACTTTAATAATAATTTCGATGCGATTAAATTCAAATAAACCTAAAAAATTAATAACATCATCATTTTGTAATCCCAAATCATCATTGTGAAACATGTCGTTTTAAATAGATGTTTGAAGATTAAATGATTCCAAAGTCTGCACGTTGCTTTGTTGCTTGACAGACATATGCTTTCAAGTTTAAAATAAGGTCTTTTTCTTACAATAAGCTTTGACTTGGCTTTGTTTTATTTTTAAATCATCAACAAAAAAAAAAAAAAAAAAACTCAAAGGAGATTTGTCCTTGTGTCATGCTTTTGTTTTAATGATGTCATTGGATTTTGAGACCACCAAAATACCACACAAATGGGTCCACAAATTCCTATGGACCCCCTCCCCCAACCAAATCTATTGGCCACACATTGGGAAATGACCCTATCATGAAATCTCATGAGCTTAATTTTCGTGGTTAATCATAATCATGCAATTACTGATTTTTTTGAATAAGTGAATATGTCATTAAATGTTATACGATAATTTAAAAAATTATATGTATAATATTTTTCAGGTAAATAATAAGGTATGAAAAAGTAATTAAGAATTTTCACAAAAAAAAAATCAATAATAATGCAATTAATTTAGCATTTAATGGTCATTGATTAGATGATTTTGATGCTTCGTTTTTGGTTTAGTACAATGAGTGGCTTTTAGTTTAGGTCATGTACCTTTCTTTGAGAAATAATCAAAAGGAGATTTTACAAAAAAGATGCCCTCCATTTATTTCTTCTAGAAAGTATTTATTATCATTTTCCTAATTTAAAAAAAAATCAATCATTTCCCATTTTTATTGTATATGTTAACATCTATTCAAATTGACATAAATAATATATATATATATATTACAAAAGATATGATAATATAAATCTATGATAAAAAGTTATAAATATTAAAATTTAAATCTTAATGTATTGCAAAGAACAAAACTTGCCAATGCCTAAAAAACCAATATGGAAGAGAATATCCGTCCCATCATATTTGTAATCGAATGATTATGCTTTAAATTAAATTTGATAATTTATATATTTGTGTCATATAAAATATTAAAAATTAATATATTTATATTATATTTTATATAAAATTTATATATAATAATTTATATTAATATATAAATAAAAAATATATTTTTTATTTTATTAAATTTATTTATAATATTTATTAAAATTTTAAATTATATTATTTTTATATTTTTTATTCGTATAATTCTTGTGTCGGTTTGAACTTTAAATTGTCCAACCAAATCTGGGTGCTCTCGGATATCATAGATGCTGGACCTCTTGGAGTCCATTTTGGTAAAGTAATCCCATCCAATGGACATACTTTTACACGTGTCAAACTAATGGATGTGATCAAAAGTTCTTTCATCCCACATCATGGCAACGCTATGCTGACGTTTTTCAAAACACACCATGAAGGTATGAAACTGCTCGTTTCAGCTGACGGAAACTCCCACGTGGGTCTTATTTGGCCGCCAACGCTTCTCTTTTGGCCTTTTAAAAGATTACTATTGAAGCTGAAATCGATTGAATTTGAGTTGATATAATATTAAATTTAAATTTAAATTTGATTCAAAAATTGAGATTTAAAATTTAGATTAAATTTGATTAAATTTTATTTTTTTAGTTCGAATTCGACTTAAGATAATCAAATTTTATTTTTTTAATTCGAATTCGACTTAAGATAAAAATTGAACTACTCGAACTTATTCGATTAGATTCGATTGATATATAAAAATAAGTTTAGTTTTTATATTTGACAAAAGTTCGATTATTTACACTCGAACTCGAACTGAGTTTGAGATATTTTATTAATTAAAATAATAAATATATATTTAAATATAAAATTCGATTAGATTTACGAACTACTCAAACCGAATATAAAATATTCGAATTCGATTCGATCGATAAGTAGAGCTACTCAAGCTCGACTCAATAATAATAGAACTGAATTCAAGTTTTATTCGAATCGAATCTGAATAGTTTGCGAGTACTAGTATATTATTTACACCCTTAATTACTATCAAATTTTTTAAAAAATTTAAAAATTCGTATATACATATTATATAAAATAATTTAAATTTAATAATTTAAAATATAATAAAATAAAATAATATAAATAAAAAAATAAAAATATGCAATTTAAAATTTTAACAGTAAATATATATAAATTTAAAAAAATTAAAAAATAAATTTTATATTTTTATAATTATACAAAATGTGACACGTAATTTTTGTATAAAACACAATTTAAATATATAAATTTTAATATTTTATACAATATGAATAGAGAAATGCTAGGTCTATAAAATATTATTAATTTATATATTTATATAATATTTTATACAAAAATTATATGTTATATTGATACAAAAATATAATATATTTGTTTATTTTTCTAAATTTATATATAACTTTTCTTAAAATTTTCAACTTTATTACATTCACTTTTTTTTTATACATTTCATGTTTGTGTTGCGTCGTTATATTGTGATTTAAAATGATAGGTCTACAATTTTTTCTCTTTCTTTTTCTCTATCAAAGTTTCTCTCTATGTTTTCATTCAAATTTTTCAGCTTTTCTTGACAAACTTGTGACAAACATACAAAAGAAAAATGCTTGAGAAAGAGAACTCCAAACTTTCATCAACAATAGATCGTGTTTTCAAATTTCAGTCAAGGGAGTGTTCAGTGCTATACCAAGTCTGTTTTCACTGAAAAGGTAGATGAGGCAATCCAAATTTTCAAAATGGATGAGACTAAAGAGAAAGAAAAGCTACAGATGATTGTACCCTCAAAAGACTTTAAGATCGATCAAGTCATAAGTATGATTGAGGAAAGATTACAGGCTATAGAGGGCATTGATTTTTATAAATCTATGAATGCTGCCAACCTTTGTCTAGTTTTAAATATTGTGATTCTTTCAAATTTTAATGTACCAAAATTTGAGAAGTATGACGGTACCAAGTGTCCCATTATGCATATCATAATTACTACT